GAAAGCACAACACCTTTTGTGTACTTTTCCTCGGGCAACTTATTTTGGTTCGCCAGTTTTTTTTTTTTTTTTTTTTTTTTTTTTGGAATTATTGGTCCCTTGTGTGTTGGTTTCTTTTGACGTTGTTGCTTGTTCTTCTTGTATAGTGTATTTTCCCTCCCGGTACGCATTATTTGACACAATGAAAAAAGTTGGGGGCAAGTCGTTGGTGGCCTCGGCGTTGCTGGGTATGTCTCTTTCACAGCACCAAGCCCACATTGCATGAAACTGACAACCATCATATGTGCCAGACTGGTACAAGCCGACCCTCAGAACATTTGTGCCACCGACAACATCTGCTACAGCATCGCCGTTCCCACCTCCTCGGCAAGCTCAAATTCGGGCAACATCTACTTCCAGTTGAAGGCGCCAACGTCGTACTCATGGGTGGCTCTGGGCACCGGCTCGCAGATGGCTGGCGCCAGCATCTTTGTCATGTACCAGGACGGCAACGGCAACGTGACGATTTCGCCACGCCTGGGAACTGCCCACAGTCAGCCCCAGTGGGACCAGAGCAGCACAGCGGCGCAACTGGTATGATTTGCTTCTCCCAGATCGTTTTGTAGGAGTTTGACCCTCGCTGACATCACCTGCAGACGTTGCTCGCTGGAAGCGGTGTTGCTGGTGGAATCATGACGGCGAATGTTGCGTGTGCGAACTGCGAGTCCTGGAATGGGGGTGAGATGTCTCTTCAGGGGACCAGCGTGCCTTGGATCGCAGCCTGGAGATCGGGATCTTCGTTGGCGACGACAAATAAGGGCGCCACCATCTCTCAGCACGGAGGCAGCGACCATACCGGGTTCAATATCGATTTGACTACGGCAACCATCAGCTCCGATAGTAATCCTTTCCTTACCTCCCGCGACACTGGTGGTAGCGGTGGTTCCGGTTCCGGTTCCGGTTCACCCGCAGGGGGCAATGGGATAACGCTGGCTAGAGGAAACCCCAATGCCGCCGCGATTCTCGCAGCTCACGGTGTTATCGGGGCTTTGGTTATGGCAGTGCTTTATCCTTTGGGCTCCCTTCTTATGCCGCTTCTTGGGAGATGGTATGTCCATGGAGCGTGGCAGGTGATCACTTTTGCTCTGATGTGGGCGGCTTTCGGTCTCGGTGTTCAGAGCGCCAAAGACCGGAATATGGTGAGTGTTTTTTTCTTCTTCATGAGACCCCTGTCAGAATTTGACTGACAGCCATTGCAGCTCTTCACACAGACGCACACGATTCTCGGTACCGTGGTTGTTGCCTTTTTTGGGGTACAGCCTGCGCTCGGCTACATTCATCATCGTCAGTATGTTCAGACGCAGAGCCGCGGTGCCGTCAGTTACGTACACATCTGGCTCGGCCGGATCCTGATGCTGCTGGGCATCATCAACGGTGGGTTGGGCCTCCGGCTTGTCGGAGAGCGGCAAGAGCTCGTGATCGCCTACGGCGTGGTTGCCGGCGTTATATTCCTATGTTATATTCTTGCCAAGGTGTTTACGGTTATTGGGGCTCAGAAGGCACAGGGGAGGAGCTATAAGGAAGATCGAGTCCCTGGTAACATGAGGAGGCCGTACCAAGAGTCGAGGCGGCATGGTGGGAGGTATGCTTAGAGGGTGGGTTTGAGATGGGGGGTATTGGGATTAGATTTATGACATCGGGTGCTCATAGATACATGCGGGATTGGCATATGCGCGGGGTTTTTATCTAGGTTTTTATTTTTTATTTTTCTTTGGCTCGAGTTGGGCGTGAGTTGTTGAATTGGTACCGAGTTTTGACTTAGATTGTTGTCTTTGTGCTAGTCAGTGTGAGAGTTGAGGCTGAGCTAGGATGCAGTGATTAATTCATTCGAGGCATCTATGGATGATAAAGGCTCGAGTATCGTCCACGGTGTTCCTGAATTTCTTGAATGAATGAGTTCGGAAAGTGAATAAATGACAAGTGGTGATAGCTGGGGCCATCACGTGACGCGGCCTACCGATGATTCCCGGCAACTTTTGGGTGGGGGAGCACCTCCCTCTGCACGACGTTGAGCCGGGGGCTTTTTTTTGAAAACCTCTCAGCCAAGGAACCTCCACTACCGCAGCAGCCGACCAACACCCTTTCCACATCCCCGCGACTACTCCGACGACACCTCGAGCGTTTAGGCCTTGTTGTTTTCTTCTTTTTCCTCCCCCGAAAACACAACAACAACCACAACCCTTTCCAAAATGTTCTCCCGGGCTTCGGTATGTACTACCCATCCATCTTTCAATTGTTTCAATTGATTTAAATACAAGGTTGTTGGTGTTGGTGTTGGTGTTGGTGTTGGTGTTGGTGTGAACTTGGAAATTGACTCGTTTTGTCAGACCAAGGCCGTCTCGGCTGTGTCCAGACTTGCTGCTGGCCGGACTGCTGTTGCTGTGCAGGCTAGGACTTTTATTGCTCCTACTGTTGCGAGGAGAGGTATGTGGATTTCTGTTGACTAAGGGGAGGAGGGGAGGGGGATCGAGGGGCGATACGGAGCCGCGACGAATACCGACACCGAGATGACGAACTGGAAGGAGATGGGGTGGATAGGGAGGAAAAAGGAGGGTTGGGGAAAGGATATGAAAAGAGGAGAGATATTGGGGAGAATGGGAATGACGTGGATGGAAGCTTGAGGGGAGCTATAGTGGAGGACAGGGAGGGAAGCTCGACATGATACAACACCACCACCAACCACCCACTTCAACCAACGATACCCCCCCCTGACGACGACCGAACCCCGATATCATAATACTGGTCATCATTTTCACGTTGAGGAATAATAATACTGACAGATTATCTCTGTTTTACAGCCGACTTCGTCCAGGAGCTCTACAGGGGAGCTATAGTGGAGGACAGGGAGGGAAGCTCGACATGATACAACACCACCACCAACCACCCACTTCAACCAACGATACCCCCCCCTGACGACGACCGAACCCCGATATCATAATACTGGTCATCATTTTCACGTTGAGGAATAATAATACTGACAGATTATCTCTGTTTTACAGCCGACTTCGTCCAGGAGCTCTACCTCAAGGAGCTCAAGGCCTACAAGCCCACCCCCGTCAAGGACTCGGACGCCGTCGGCCAGGTCGCCACCTTCAACCTCCCCAAGACGCCCAAGTCGCCCGAGGAGGCCGACCTCGCCTCCAGCCTCAAGGAGTACGAGAGCATGGCTGTCGAGGTCGAGGGCTCCGAGGTTGATGCCAGCGGTGGTCAGACCACGGCTGTTGTGGAGGACTGGCTTGTTGAGGAGGAGGAGGATGATGGTGCTCACCACTAGATTTCCTTTTATCCTCGACAGCGCTGAATAAACATCCGCTTTCACCTTGGACCGGAGGGGGGGACTTTCGGACGAATGGAAGGAGGTAGATGGGGAATTATACATTATTGGAACTTGGCGGTTAGGTCACGCTGGACTTCCAAGATGGCAAAAAAATGAAGCTGTGTGTTTGCGTTGATGGTGGGTGGGGGAGGATGATTGATTTCGGACAGATGGGCCGTAGTCAATGTGTACATTGATTTTTTTCTCCTTTTTGGTTTTTTTATGATGGCTCGCTCGCAGCGGTATTGAACAATCTCCCTGCTGGTTTAAAACGGTGATTCTTGACTGCGAGGGTGAACCAACCACCTACTACAAGCTCTGCCAGAGCTGAAGGGACAATGTCAAAGCTCCTAGCTCAGCTTCTTTGATCTCGCCCGGACCCGGAGGTGGAGGGGGGGCGGCTACCCCCTTTTAAGGCGGATACCAACTCCAAGAGAAAACAATTTCTCTGGGCAGCACATGAGGCTGTCTGGGGTAATCACCGACCTACCTATGTGACGTAAAAACTCCCATCAAGGCCATGGTGAGAGGGGGAACGGATCGATCGCCATGGGTGATAAAAACTCTTGAATGTCATCCACGTTATGAAGCGAAGATGTTGCCATTCAGCTCTATGTGGCTACTTCTTCTTTTCACCACAGCATATAAACAGACCAATCCATAATACGAGGATCAGTATTCCAGGCTTGTCTTCAACTTTCATCCTCATTAAAACCATGATTATTTTTCAACCTTTCTTTCTGTGACCATAACACACCTTGCCATCACCGATTTTGTTTCTCAACTACAGCAGCAGCAGCAACAACAACAACAACAACAACAACAACAACAACAACAACAACAACAACACCCCACAAAATACACATTCACAAACATCACCATAGAGTATTTTCATTGAGCAAAGCACTCTTCATAAACGTTGAACAACCTCTCGCTGTCCATTAAAGATTATTAATTTACCTACTTCTCTCCCCCCCAACCAACTTCCACACATACACACACACACACACACTCACTCACTCACTCACTCACTCACTCACTCACTCACTCACTCACTCACACTCACACACACCCAAGAACACCTTGCCAGTTGGTTCTTATTATTGTTCTTATAGTGTGCTGCTGCTCCCCATTTCATCATCAAAAAAATCAAGAAAAAGAAAAAAACATCAAACACCTCAACACCTCCCCCAACCAACCAACCAACCAACCAAAACACACACCACCGACCGAGCCCATGCACCCACCCCCATTAGAAACCGACCTTGAAATGCACAATGCTATGGTTATAAGTAAGTAGTGCGTAATAAGAGCCTCGTTGGGGTCATCAAACAAGTGTCTGTAAAAAAAAGGGTTTTCTTTTCTTTTTGCTCGAGTGAGTTATGTGCCATTTTCTCTCCCCCCAGCCCACAAATGTAGTCAAAGAAGGTTAAAAAAAAAGCTGAAAAGTAACAAGATTAATCGAGAGAGAAGAAACGGAGGATTGTCATAGGTAGAAAGAGAGACAGAGAGCCATGCAAAAGACTACATGTCGAAGTTTGATGCACCAAACATCTGCTCATCGTGAGTGTTGGTCCTGACGATTCCACTCATGCGATTTGAATTCCGGGGATCGACATCGCGCATGTCGTCCCAGTCATCATCCCTCCTCCGGTCGTGATCATCATCCATGTCCTCGTCCTCGTACTTGCTATACCTGTTCCCCATGTGGTCGTCAAGCGCGCTCTCATCCACAAACGTGAATCCCTGGAAATTGGCCTGTACTGATGGTGAGAGGGGAGTCGATGTCGCGTATCCCTTGGCCAGGGCGGCCGCCCGCTCGTTGAGTGACCCGTTGGTGTTGAGAGCGTTGGTGAACTCGGGGTCGAAGTAGGAGACATCGGTGTCGTTCTTGAGTTGCGGCTTAAATGGAGGGGTGATCAACTTCTTAGAAAGAGCATCCCAGTCAATGTCGGCAAAGAACGCGTGTCTCTTCAGCTCTTCGGCATCGTCAGTCGCGCCGAGACGATGCTTCGGGTTGCGGTTCAGCAGCCCCTTGACAAAATTCCGGCCTTCCAACGACAAAGTATCCCGAGGGAATCGAACCTTGCCAAAAGCAATGTTCTTGTACATTTGTTGCGTCTCCTCGGCGTAGAATGGGCTCCACCCGCAACACATTTCGAAAACCAGGACGCCCAAAGACCAGAAGTCAACCATCTTGGTGTAACCCGTCTCGTCTAAGAGCACTTCTGGGGCGAGATATTCCGTTGTGCCGCAGAATGTGTTGGTGGTGTCGTTCTTGGTGAGGTTGGCCTTGGAAAGACCGAAATCGCAGAGCGCAATGTGGCCGTTCGCATCCAGCAAAATGTTCTCGGGCTTCAAATCGCGATAAACAATGTCGTTCTTATGGAGATGTTGAATCGCGAGAATCAGCTCCGCAATGTAGAACTTGGCGCGCTTCTCCTCAAACTTGCCATCCTTTTGCAAATGCCAAAAGAGCTCTCCACCCGACATGTAATCCGTGACCAGATAGAGATCAGAAGGAGTCTGGAAGGAGAACTTAAGGCCCACAATAAATGGGGAATCGGCCATCGCTGTCCGTACCAGAATGTTGCGCTCGCCAACGGTATGTGCCACCTCCTTCTTCTGCACAATCACCTTCTTCGACAAGACCTTCATGGCGTAAATGCGCTTGGTGTCCTTCTTGCGAACCTGATATACCTGACCGAACGTGCCCTTGCCGATAAGTCGCAAAATCTGAAAGTCTTCGGGTCCATAATGCTTCGGCTCCGCTCGCTGGTAAAACGCCTCGACGTAAATCTCGCCCGTCGGCGCATTTTCGGCCATTGTGTCGGCATGTCCTTTCAGTGGGAACCAACCACGGACCGGTCCCTCCCTCTCAGACGACTTGGCCTCGAAATCGACATGACCCAAGAACTCCTCCCCATTTTGTCCTTGCCCGTAAACCGAAATGTCCACAAGCATGTCCGAGTCAATAACATCGCTGTTCTGCTGTCAGCATCGTCGCATGAGCCCGCGACATAGTTGTCACCTACAAGATGGCTTCCGCGTCCCACTTTGGGTTGGTCAAGGACCGCCGCGACCCAGAGGTGCGGTTGCGGAAAGTGTTGAAATCGGAAAGACTGGTGTTGCTGCTCTGTCTGCTTCGCATTGGAATCGCCATTGGCCTGCCAGAATCGCTCCCTGTGCGCTGAATCGGCACTCCGCCCATGGCCACAGCGGCAATGGCGGCATCGTCGTCCATCTCCGAAGGTCGAGGGCCGGCCGAGATGAGCTCGCTTCGCTGGAAAACAACAACGACATAAGGGTTTTGACATCGCTTTAGCCCTCTGGCTTCGGAAATCTTGACGGCCAATTTTCCTCTTGGGGCTGGTACTCGGGCGCCCTGAGGTGTTGGTGTGTTGGTCGCAGTCCGATCAATGCTCTCGCCGTTGTGCCTAGAGTTACTGTCATGCCCATCGCTGGAGCGCGAATGTTGGGTAGATGAGAGTGCACGAGTTGGGGTGTTGGCACCGCTCTTTTTTCCCGACACACTTGTTAGCTTCTTGAGATGCAACACAGAGGCGGACTCGTAAGAAATTCTGTCGTGAGATGTGGGACGACTTGGAGAGTTAGGGACAGTAGAGGCACGGCCAGCCGGGTTGGAAAGGTGAGAAGCCGTCACGACGGAGCCGTTCACCGTGGTCGTTGTCAGGGGCGCCAGCATCGACATCCTCCTTGCTTTGCCCTTGCCGGCGTCAGAGACGCTGGGACGGCGAAACAGAGGAGGCGTCCCGCTTCGGGACTTTACGCTACCCCGGTCTCCAGCATAGTTGCGCAACGACGAAGGCTGCGAGACTGGAGGGGTCGGGTAGGGATGCAACCGGCTGCCTTCCTGGGGCAACGACTCAGATGGAGGTCCCAGAATCTCGTGAGCCAGAAGAGGAGGACCCTCATCTGACGCATCGGTGCATGGTTCTGGCTCTGGCTCTGGCTCTGGCTCTGGCTCTGGCTCTGGCCCAGCGGGCGAGAGTGGGACCTCTGGCGGTGTATCGGGTTCCCGTGCCTCGTCGGTCTGGTGGTCGGAGGCCTTCTGAGTAGTCGCGGCTTGTCCACTCGTCCTGAAAGAACCAGAAAACAGTCGCGGAAAAGAGCTTGCACGAACCTGGTTGAAGTAGCTCATGATGCCCGGCAGCCGTCGATCTTGAAGGTCTGGCTGCGGAGTCGCAATGCCAGAGCGCGGCGATTCGTAACCAATCTGATCCGCCGCACCGTCCTCTTCCGCTGCCGCGACAGACCTGCTGCGCTGGTTAATACCTTCCATGTTGACGATGAGTTATTTTTTCCGAAGCACGGAGAAAGCAGGCAAACCAAGGCAGGGGTTGTTCGTTGACCGAGGAGAAAAAGGGGGGGGGTAATAAGGTGGGGCACAAATTGACAGGAGACGATGACAGCCGTGGGGAAAGGGTGCTAGCTCATGGTGAATTTTGGGCGAATTGGGTTGGGGTAGATTCCAACAACAAGAACAGTTGAGCCGACGAAGTGGTTCTCGGGAGGGGAGAGGGGTGGGATATACTACATCTATGACGAGAAAGCTGTAGCCGGGGGACGGGGAGGGGAGGGGAGGGGGCAGCGGCCTGCTGGCTTTTAACGATCGCCCCAGAAATGGCCTCACCCAGTAGAAAGCAAGGCAGGACGGCTATGGGGCAGGTAGGGGCAGGCCGTCGGGCTGGCAGTGCTGTGCAGGAATTGCAGGAATCTGCAAAACCCGGGAGGCCGAGAGCGAACAGAACCCCTTCTGGCCGAGGATTTTCTTGCCTGTTGCGCTGCCGAACCCTTCATCAGGCAGACTGGATATGGAAGCAACCTTGATGCTTGCCATGTGGTTATCGTGGGTGCAAAGGCCTGTGAGTGGGGGAATATCGAGCATTTTGCAGTGCCCTTGGCCCAATTCCAAGCCCCAAGATCGGGTTGAACGGAGGGGTGAGGGGGCCGCTGAGGGGGGTGTGCCGACTGAACAATCCAGGGCAGCCTGCCAGCAGCCAGCAGCTTCCAGGTTCGCTCACTCAGCGAGTCAGGCCGTTCTCGGCTTGATATGCCCGCACCCCCCCCCCCCCCCCTCTCAGCCCACGCGAATGTCTTCGACCCCCGTCGCCGCCGGCGCAATCCCGGTACGACAATGCGCTTTTTGCATGTGCACATCAGATTGGTGAGGACGGCAGATACGACACCGATGGGTACATGGCCCTTGCCAGGTCAAGAAACATCCGGTAGGCGGAACCGAGTGAGGTGGTGCAATCATAGAGGAACGCCCCTCATTTGCAAGGGGAGCGGGAGCGGGAGTAGGAGCGCCGCATTGTGTGATGACAGATACCGTAATCCGCAACTCGCCCAACTTTTGCACTTGCGATGACGGCACTAGCCAGACTGACTCAACTTTCCCGTAGGGCGGACGGCCAGCGAAGAGGAGGGAGATATGCGGAGTCTGCAACGTTTCGTAGTGTACGTATGAGCAGCCGTGGCGGGGTAGGAAAGAGACTGTCTATCCATGTTTGGGCAAGGGGGTGGTCCCAAGTAACGCGCCGACAGGACGACAGCTGTCAGGCCCCTCTGTCTCCATCGCCACCTCGCTGCCGCTTGAGACCCAGCCACCAGAGGGGTTTGTCGGTTGATGAGACGGTGTGCTCCGGGCTTTGATGGATTGCAATGTCGATGCGGTGCGACTTCTTGGATGTTGTTGGGACTCTGAGCGTCGTCGTGGCTAAAAGCAATGCCGGCCTTCTGGAAGGCCGAATAGAAGATGTGGGCAATATGGGGATAAAGTGAAGGTCGAAGCGACGGGACAGGGAAGATGCAACAACAACAGACGGGGTGCGAGCAGAAGATACTTACTTTGACATCATGGCTTGAGTTGCCCTCCGGAGCAGATCAAAACCCCCTCCCGAGCCGCCGGTGGAGGGTGCGGCAGCAGTTTCGCCTGCGGGGCCCGACATTGTTTGCCTCACGTTGGTCTGCTCAGCAGAAGTCGATCGGGGAGAGACAGAGGAGACCGACTCGGACCGGGTTGTCGGCGCAGGTGGCCGTGGGGGATCTTGCGGGTATGGATGCGGCTGTTGTCGGTGTTGTCGGTGATGGGTGGGCGTGGTGAGGTGGTGAGGTGGTGAGGTGATGAGGTGGGTGAGGAAGAATGAAGACAAGAATGAGGCGGTATACTGAGAGAAGTGTCTGCTGAGCTGTGTGGTGTTGGAAGCGCCCAAGTGGCCGCGGGGTCCTGCGGCAAGGTTGGGAGGTCTGGGGTTGGGCAGTGGTGAATCCAGAGTTGGAAAAGCGGAAGATTCGCACACCGGAGCAATTCTTCAAGAAGTTAAAAAGTGAATGCGTTGAATGGCGGCTTCCACCGTGCAAAGCCTAGGCTGCGAATAGTGGGGCAATGGTTGGCTACGAGCCCCTCCAGCTGGGTTGCGAGTTGCTCTGGGAGCAGCTGGGGAGCAGCTGGGGAGCTTCGACGACAGCGCCGCAGGCAGGTGAGGTGTCAAGAGAGGGGCAATTATTCAAAGCTCGGCAGTGAGAGAGTGCAGGTGGCTGTCGTGGGAATGGATTTTTGGGTGGTCGTGTTGGCAGAGCGCTTTCCGACGGGTTACGGCCTTTGGCTTTGAATATTACGTCAAGAAATAAAGGGCCTGTTGCCTCTGGTTCTGAGATGCGGGCGATGCGGCTTGTTGCTCTGGCTGTCTGTCGTATATAAAGCGTTCTGTCTCCGTCCAGTGTCTCAGCGCTGCCAGGTCACCGGATACAACAGGCACATGGCTGGAGGATGGCTGGTATTGATGGCGGCGATGGCAGTTCCATTCAGTCTACAGCCGAGAGTGACAGTTACAAAGTTGAGTGGAAAAGAGTGGTCAGAAAGAGAAATGACATTTGCCCCCAACCATTGAGTTCAGTGCTCTGGGCCCAAGCAGCTATTTTTGTTTGCGACGGTCATGACCATCTACCCGCAATGCTGGGTCAGGCCTTACCCGGCCCTTGAAAGCGGCCGGGTTTTAACGTGGCTGCAGGTACCTAGGGAAGGAACTGAATTCTGCTTTTTGGCTTTGTTACGCTTGCTTTGGTTTCTTTTGCCCGGGTGCTCCAATACCCAAATCAAATGCCAAGACTTCCTATTTGGGGTGGTGTAAGTCGAGCGAGGTCTCTCTCGGTTCTGGTCTACAGGTTTGTTTCCGACACCGCCCTAGCCTAAATGGCGGATCGAGTCTCGTTAATCATTGCATAAGAGCCATCCAAACCTTGCCGTCACACATCTTGTCATCATCAATATTGCGAGCCGTTGGTTAGCCTGGACTTGTTGAAACCGAAGACTGTGCCCCTTATCGCTAAGTAGATACAAACAACTTGCCGTCAGACGGATGCTCCTTCTCCTTCCGCCCACAGGTCTCGCCGAGGACATGCAGGTCATTTCAACAACACAGTATTGGACCTTCTCATACTGTTACGCATGTGTCAATAAGACCTGATTCGTGTGCCCGTCAGCTCTGATCGAAATCGCCTCAGCCCGGCCGTACCATCGAGACGTTGGGAGTCAGTCTTATAAAAGCTGGGGCACTCAACGCCACCTTCCAAATAACCTTTCGTGTTCTCTAGCACAACGCGCGAGAAAAGACACGACTTCCCACAGCCGCCTTGTATACTCCCGAGAAAAGACAATCTGCCGAAGCTAGCAACCGTCCATCCCCCTCCTTATCAAGGGTCGTACAGATATCACTACCGGAGTCTCTTGACATCGATACAAGGCCGAGGAGGATGCCGCTTGGCCTCCAAAGATCAGGTTTACTGTCCGACATCGAATGGCGCTGTTGGCAGAAGAAGCAAGAGGGCGGCGGCGGCGAATCTTCTTCTCGTCTCCAGAACCACATCGTAATCTTCCACCTGGCCAAGACAGAACCTCTGCGGCCAACTGCATGTAGCTGTACCAATGACATGGCGGAACTGTATGTATGCTGGCATCTTCTCGGCCTACCTTCTGCCCTCGATACAGAATCTATACACCTGCAGAAGTGACAACTACTTTGTGGCACGTTCCACCTTGATATCAGAATGCTCAGAGAGGAGACCAACTAGAACTCACCGCTTACACTCCGGTCTCTACCCCGTACCACCACGTCAACACTCGTGATCTGTGTTGCCACGCTCGGTTCCACGTTGAGCAGTTCGTTCCAAGTTTAACGGCTTGACTACCCAAAGGGCAATATCTAGCGGTGTCAATCTGTCTCTCTTGGCAGGGAACATCTAACTTTATGTTCAGTGAGTACCAGCATTGCCACTATGTCTGCTCACAAGATATCAAATCAGACCTTTTTTGTACATGATCTTACACAAGTGTATCTCACAATTCATCAACCGAGCATGTCACCTAACCTTGAACTCTGAGTGGTAGCGTTTACGAGTCCAGCACTCCGGGTGTGTATCTTTGCGAACCCTTCAGCTTCGCAAACAACCCCCCTTTTCTGTCTCGGGTGTATACAAACTCAAAAAGGGCCGGTGTAACCAAACCCCCGGAGTGTCTTGGCTTGCCTTTAGCAGAAAAAGAGAATCGAGATTCCAAACTGAACCCATGTCATTCAGAGCCACATGTCTCGGATTCCGTCATGTCTTTCCACCTACGCCACACATCTTGCCAATTTCATAAAGTGGTAGAGTGATAGCTACACCACAGTCATCAGACTATCATAATCATTCGTAGTGACCGGGGTGGGAAGACTCATAATCTTTGAATGAGGTAAACATACATGCCTTCATATAAGTTTTTATTATCATGGGCAGAGTTGTTCATTCCCTTCATTCTATAACAATTCCCGAATCTTCAAATCATCATAACATAGCCATGAACTTCAATATCCCTCTCACCACCGCACAAAACTTCTTGAATATTTCCCCTTTCCCACATCAAGCCATCTCATAGATATCATGAACTACCACCACCTTGAACAGACTCCTTTGCAGCTCTGAGAACACCCTTCAGCCTCTCCTCCGTCTGGGGATCAAACCGACTGTGGGTTGCTATGGCTGGACGAGGAGCAAGCGGATCAGGGAGAGCAGCTGACGTTGGAATCAGTATTGATAGGTCCCAGCTTCAGCTTCTCAAGATTTGAATTTCGAAACAATCCATGACTTACAACAACTGAAATCACCATGCTGAAGCCGAGCTCTGGCATTCTCATACTCCTCCCTGAACTTGGGTGTATTCCACGACGCCAGCGGCTTCCCGGCCGGGGTTTGCTGATGTTGATGCTGAGGAGTCTGGATTGGGGGTGTGCTGAGGTCCGGCAAGTCGGACATGGTCAAATCGGTGGACATGGCTGACTTTTGTATTGAATTTCGAACCGAAACTAGACTGAACGCAGGTCTCTTCCGATACTGACACAGCAGGCTCGTATCAAACTGGTGAGGAGGAACGACTTTGATATGTAATTTCGAAAATGTACTTTTTTCCAACTCCAAGAGAAGAAGATGAAGGCCAGAGGAGCATGTCATTCAACTCCCTACCCTACCTGCCCTGCCAAGCCTGTCACCCATGGTCCGTGCACCTGCCTTCAACAGCGGCGGACCCTACAGGTTCAGGGATCCTGCTATTGTGCTGGGGGGCGGGGGGGGGCGGGTTGTCTCTCGACCGAGGCTCCATTTTCAATTGCAAGTTCATGATTTCTCCCCCTCCTCCCAGATATTGGACCGATTTCGTGAATTG